CTCGGCACGACAAGATATAAGCGAGGCAATTAGCCGCGTTAAGATAAACAATATCGTGATGATTTTTTATAAAGGAAAAGGAGATAGAGACACGTATCCACAATTTTACTGAGAAGGGAAACGTACTCTGCAGTACTTGTGTCCGATCTAAAACGTACTTTGCAACCAATACTGTTGTAAATTTGTGAACTGATATAATTGATAATATATCCAAGGTATAACATTTCACTGTAGTATCATTTGAGAAAATTGAAACGTGGTCCTCATTAAAACATTCTTCTTATCACTTCGATATTTTGCAGAGTCTTCCCATTTCCTATACAGGATGAGTCAAAAGTTATATCCAAGCGTGGATGAGAAAATAAAAAAGAAAATATAGAATAAAATCTTTTTCATCGAAGCTTAGCTTCCGAGAAATTCAAGTTTGAAAATTAAGTAATCAAGAAAATTAAGTGTACTTGAACTTGATTAATCACCGGCTGAATATGACTAAACATTATATATGACACTATCCTAGATGCGAAAATAATTGCAAAGTGAAGAATACAATTTTTCCATTTAAGGTATCATTTCCAAAAGATTGAATTTGTACATGTTTAGTCGTGAATCTGTCTAGTAGTCGCGTATGATAGATTTTCAAATTTATTTTTCTCTGAAATAAAGCACCTTATGAAAAAATGTTATTCTACACTTCCGAGTTATCCTCATACGTAGAATGATTTCCTGCTGATCATTTAGTCCTGTCCAGTCCGAAATTAACCATGTTCGAGTATACCTGATAAATTTTTAAATTTGATTTTCTCAAAAACTAAGCTCCGGGCGGGAAGATTTTATCTTACACTTAGTTCCTGTCTTTTCATGAAGAATCACCACGTGCCCTTTTATGCATAATTTTCGGCCGCAGCCTGTATAATCCAACTCATACAAATTCAATGAGCAACGATATAAATATCCCAAAATTTAAATAATATAGCGATATATAATTAAAAAAAAAATAGTTAAACTCGAATCCAACGTAAGGGAACAATAGACATCGTTCGAGTCTTATATTTCTGTCCAGTCAGAGAGATACACGAAACGCCTGTCTGCGTCGCGGTAAAAGGCAACAAAAGTATTTGTAGCGATGACCGAGCAATCTGAATGGGTTCGTTGCCGGTTAACCGAATGGCCGCACGAGAACGGCGCGGCGCGGCGTGGCGCCGACGTTTTTTTACCAAATAATTAGACGAAAACGGTGAACACGAACGGCGAGAGCGCATTTAGGACGAGGCCTTCGCCTGACAAATCGGTTCCGCGAGATTTCTCGTGAAAACAGGCCTCGTTACAGAATCAAGTCTACGATTTTTTAATTCTACTCTTTCGCCTCGCGAAAGTTTATATCTTTATTTTAGATGCAACAAAAGTAAGATCCTAGCCTGTGGCGGAACTTCAAAGCAACAGAGAGTGGAAGGAGGAGAGAGAAACAGGAAGGAAAAGTTGGATTTTTAGGTTTGTTAGCCATGGTCCATTAAAAATTAATAAATTTCAACCAACCGACACAGCAGCCCTGAAGCACCGCACGAGTGGAGAAATCTGCTTCAACGAGCTAAATAACGAGCTAAATAAAAAGCTCTTTCGGATCGGAGATTTTCATTTCAATCTCGTTTCCTTTGTTTTCTGTATTTTTCCCATTTCCGTTTTATTTTTACCAGACTTCCAGATTCGCTATATTTTGCCAGACCTCCTATTTTTTCTGTTTTCATCATAAAAATGGCAGAGTTGCTTCAACTCGCTCACAGCGTGCCGTTTAATTTCTAGTACTCTCGACTGTAAATAATTAGTATTGCCAGCTGGCCAGGTCGGTGAAAAATTAATTTCTTCCATCGTCCATAGTAATAATCGCGAGATAGTTGTCACGTGACCTTTCTGTGGTCGTGAGTGATATCGTTTCGAATCAAAATGGAAAATCCGAACCGGAGACGCGAGCAACGCATTACATGTGAGAAAAGAAACTGTACGGGGTCTCAGCAGGAACAACCGCCTCGGTTTGAAAACGGCGAGAATCGTACATCTAAAGTGAGTCACAGCACGTTTCTTTGAAAGCGCTGTCATTAGGCTACGTAAGCACATCAGAGACGCACACAGACTCGCTAATGATCACTCGGTCTTACCTCGAAAATCTCGATCTTCCTGTTCCTCATGGGATGGAAATCTGAAACAGAAGATGTTACAAGTTTTTAAATTGGTTCTGTAAGACAGCAAGCTGCAGTTTTACCTATTTTGCATAAAAAACGGTTTGATTTCGGTTTCACAGCAGGGATAAGCCTGCTGTGACTAAATGCCTCCCTAAAAGTCTACACAATAATAAACGTTTCCACAAATTTGAATCATTACTCTCATTAACGATCCAACTTCTAATAGTCTTTTTTTACGTTTTCCATCATTCGATTCACCGTTAGCCGAACCATAGCAAACAGTTGCAAGAACGAAGAAAGGAACCGCACGAGCCAGAGCTTCTGGCCTAGAGGCACGAGCCACTCGAATCGCATACGCCGGCTTAATTATGGCGAACCCGTACATGTGGAGCGGTAATTATCGGATCGTAAAGTGGCACATTTATCACGCTGTACATACAGATTTACTCTCGAAGCACAACAGAAGCGCTGAGGGCCTCGGAGAAGGAAAGGATGATTTCATAATGACGCTTTTTGTTCGGTCGACGGTTTTATGGCGTGCACGTAGCTAAACTTTGCAAACCGGAAGTTGCCGCGAACAGGGACGCGCCGGTGAACAAAGACATCGTGGGCCGTAACGAATGTTGAATGACGTGTCTCTGTCTCTTTCTCCCTTTCTCCGTTTTCCTTTTCCCTTTTTCGTCCCGTTCTCTCTCGTTTTGTTTCTTCGAGTTTCATTTTTGTATTGTGTAAACGTAAACACGAGCAGAAAAGCGATGGAGAAATGGTAGTAGAAAGAAACCAGGTTACGGTCACACCGGCTAATTACCATATAAATTATGCTTGGACAAATCTTAGACGATTCCGCGGCACGATCGAACCACTAACTGGTAATTAGAGGTTCGTTAACGTGACCCAGCGCTGATGAAATCGCGAAAAAGTGAGTCATCGAGTTCTTTCATCTCTAGGATGAAAAAGTACTGGACTACGTGTAATGCGAGGATAGTTTTACGATACTCGTGCGGCGTGATTGCCTGACAGCTTTTAAGGTTTTACCCCAGCTTTCTCCAATTTCATTCGCCATCGGAAAAACTTGAAATTCTTCTGCCACGGTTGCCCATTGCGTTCTATCGTCGTGTTTGATATTGTCGGGCTTTAGAACATTTTACCCGCCAATGACACGGTCTAAGTCAAACTGTGTCACCTATTTCTTCTTTATAACTGTTGAGAGGCTGACATCTTTCTTGCCATTGATGTTCACTAAAAAGTGGTTGAGGTAATTTAGACGAAATTCAAAATTAACGATTGTACTATGTATAATTCGATTTTTTGAATGAAATAAATTTATACAGAATTATTCTACGTGAAAAATAAAGATTATTTTAGATTACATTTTAGATCTTAGACTGATGCTGTCTACATCTTTTGGCAATTATTGTATGTTTTTAGAAATTTTCAATTTATACGAAAAGCGCAGAATCAATAAATCCGCTTCCAGATGTTAGTAGCATAATAATAGAAAATACATTTAAAATTGTTTGCTGCCACTTCCTCGTTCTTCATATCCCTTGACAGACAATATATCCAAAGCTACCCACCAGGATTACCCACCTAGGGTGTTACAAACTATTGTCAATGAGAGTATCAAAGAGAAAGACCAAAGCGTTCATATGTTGCAGTTTAGCGAGGTCTGTCATACGATAGGTTGGGCGAGTTTTGGTACTTGACCCTCAGAAGAGCACAACAGGGGTCCTTACCAACCTTCTATAAGTTTCATATAGGGTGACCCAACATAAGTGTCATTTGTGGTTTTAGAGGTTTTCATGGCTTCGGCTGTTATAGTTAGCATTGTTTGAGGTTTCGAGGAGTTACTCCTGTCCGCTTCGAGGGGAGCGTTAATATTCAAGCAATATCGCAGCTTGTTGCATCTGATATTAAATAACACCATGGGATTCATCTTTATTTGACTGACACAACTTTGTCCATAAAATATAAAGCTTTATCTGGAAGCGACAATTTGAGTGTGACTGTTTAGAAATAAAATAAATAGATATAAAATAGTAATATTATTCATCTTTTTTGTTGTGTAACGTATCCCAGAAATTTGAGATTTTTTGAAAAATACTCGAATGTTGCATCACTGCAATTGAATATTTTAAAACACAGGAAACATACATAATAATGTTTTATAGTATATTCATTGTGCATGGGAGATATGATGAAACGAATGGATTCCTGTGTCCAGAATATGTGGATTCTGTTTAGAAAGTAAAATGCAATTGCACCACGGAAATGCATTGTTGCAATCGCAAAAAGAAGAAAAAAAAGAAAGAGGATATAGGAAGCTGGAGCTCCTTAAATCGCCCTGTTCTTTCCATCTCTTACCGAAAAAGACACGAGACTTGCCCCAGATACTCGGCTCCCGTATGACTATTCTCTTCAACATTTTATTACATGTACTTACGTTCCCTCGTGTATCAATTTTAACGCTTTAGAATGCAGCTGCTAGGTGAGCCATATAATGTGCTGCAAGGTGTACCCTACAAATTCTAACGATGGCGACAAAATTATCTTCCAACATCTTATTCTCTATGGAACAGATATTTCGCATACACGAGTTACATATTTTTCAAACAATTTAGAAATTTAACTTCTACTATTTAGCATTAAAAAACGTAGCTCGTTAAACGTATCTAAATATTCCCGGTAATGTGGAATACGTGCATTCATATACAATATCGAATGTAAATATAATTTAATAATTATTTGCGGAGGTTGAAAAATTGTTTCAAATAATACGTACTCCAACAATCCTAAAATTCAATAACAAAATATTCTCCAATCAATTCTAAAACCTACTTTAACAATTCAATGATCCAAACCACCCTCCGTTTTAAAAACCAAGGCTTCCAACCTAAGACAGGAGAAACGGAAAGAAGCCATTCCTTAGGTAAAGAAACCAAACAAAAATTCTCTCATTATCCCCAACATTACCACGATAAACGACTCGCAGAAGGTATATAACACATACGAGTTACCAAGGTAACACCATATAGGAGCCATCCATCATGGTTTTCCCGATGAAACGCGATCAGCCAGCTTGTTAAGGGTATCCTGTCCGCCAGTGGTCGCGTTAAACAAATAGGTAAACTTGGACGAAAGTTTCGGACGAAAGTGGCCGATGATTCGTCGAAAGAAAATGCTCGGATGCGAAAGTCGTTTCGTGGTAGCACGTGCGAGTAGAAGCGCTACAGATTGGAGGGTGGAGAACTTTCGGGGAAGTTCTTTTTCCAACGGGTTCGCACGGCTTGACGAACGAAAGATTCTCACCGCAACCTCTCCGCAGTCTTGTTGTTTGCCATCCCGCGGGTCTTCTTACCAGACGATGACTTGTTTCTCACGTACACTTCATTAGGTACTCCTCCGTTGGGACATTGGACCTCTTTGGAGCTCGAGATTACTTCTTCTTGAAAACCAATTTCGCGGACCGACAGAGGGAAGAGAAGGCGCGAATATGCGACAGAGGGAATGAAAAAGACGTTTTCCCCGATGAGACAACGGGATCTATGTTTACGTTATCTTTATGGAATCCTGTTATCGTGTAAAACAAACACCGACCAAAGATCCACAGCTAATAAAATCAGGCCTCAATCTCGTGTCTCTAATTGCGTTTATCGTGCTCTCGCGGTGCTTCTTCGTTCAGCTGTAATCAATCTTTTCATCGCAGGGCGAGAAAGACTTTCGAACTGTCGATGACAATGGCTGAAAGGAGGCAATTGAAAGTTTGTAGAAACAAGCAAGTGTTCATATGATATAGATATAAATAGATATAAACTTGCGTGAGCATGTAAGCGTGCAGGAGTTTACGTTGTAAAAATTTGTATTTATTGAAAGAGAAAAACAAGGATAGGAAGAGCGAAAGTTTATTAACACGAATATTAGTCCACTATGAATTTATAATATTTCAAAAAGTGATTTGATTTCCTCTTAAGTTGATTTTTGTTGATTTGCTTGAATTACTAGAAATTAACGGTTTATAATGTGAGAGGCAATTTTGCTTATGAAAAGGCAAAAATTGATAAATCACAAGGTTAACTTAAGCAGAAAATTTAATCCTCGTGATATTAGCAAATGTGAATTTCTACGAAATCTTTTAAGATAGCGGTCGCTGTCTCTTTAGGGGTCGAAAACGCGCAGCTCGAGCTCATTTACTTCTTCAACTTCGTGTAAGACAGATCACGAAACTAATCAGGCTGGTTCTTGAATGTGAACAGAGTGGTCGAGAGCTATCTGCCAACTTTTATCTAACTTATTCACATTCCACCATCTCATGTAATTCAAAATATCATACAACTTATAATTACTGTTTTTATACAAAAATTTAATTTTAGAATCTCGTTAAAAAATTATCGTAGGAATGAGGTGCTACGAAAGGGATGATTTTCCTTGACATCCATTTCTGACACAATTTTGAATGGAACATTATACGTCATGAAGAGAAACATCACGTCAATGAAAATCAAGTATTAACTAATTTAACTTAATTTAAGTAATCAAGTATTACAACGATAATCCTAAACTTTAATACAATAAAACAGTAGAATCTAAAACTCTGCAGATAAATCATGAATAAGTTTCGCCATCTTCATAGAGCGTGACTTATCTTTAACGCTTTAGCAGCTTCTTTAAGTATAAAGTAACATTTTTCATAAAATTCGTGTCTTACAAACTATTTACGAGAGAGGAAGACACACGAGTAGTAAATATAAATACGTATATAAGAAATCTTCAAATCATTTAAGTAATAAAATAGTTTTAAACCCATAGTACCTTTCATTCCCACTCAGACTTACAACGCTAACAGCAAAACCAACGAATTATCATTAGCACACTTTCCTTTTAATCGTCTGAGACTAATGAAAATTAGTACGAGAAAAAGAAAGTTGAAATGTTCATCAACGAAGCAAGATTCCTATGGCAGGAAGACTTTAATTAGTCACGCTATTTCGGGTAAGAGTGCAGCTAACTGCGTAAATGC